TAGGGAATACTCCATGATATTTCCTCGCCTGAACAGTGACACCCAATAGTGAAAACTGGTTTTCTTCAACAACTCTCTCATAAAGTGAAGAATTTAGTATCAAGGCTTCAGAGACAATAGATTCTTCATTAATCTGATCAAGACTAAAGTTGGTTAGTTCGTATGTGGTCGTGCATGTCCAATGAGATGAATAATGTTCGTTGTTAGGATTAGGTATTTGAATATATCTTCAATTGGCAAAATTCTCGTTGATGAAAATAGGAAAGGTCTTTTCGAATCCTGAAAAAAAAAAAAAAAAAATTGTTTGTTGTCTCTTCAATAAGCGTGGAGAAAAAATAAATAAATAAAATAAAATTTGTTTTTTGTCTCTTCCAGCAAGTGTGGGAAAAAAAATTGTCTCTTTAGCAAGTGTGGAGAGAGAAAGAGAGAGAGAAAGAGAGAGAAAAAAAAAAAAAAAATTCCTCCAAGAAGCGTGGAGGAGGAAAAAAATAAAATAAATAAAAAATATAAATAAAAAATCTTCCATGAAATGTGAAGGAAAAAAGAAAAAAAAAAAAAAAAAAATCTCTTCCAGGAAGCGTGAAGGAAAAATAAAAGTCAAACCCTATGACTTGGGTGATATATATAGGTAAGGGATTTGTATAAATTGGAAAATAAAATTCCAATCCAAAGTGAGATTGGAAAGGCAAAAAAAAAAAAAAAAAAAAAAAAAAAATTGGATACTTCAAGTCCCACTTGAAAAATGAGATAAGTCTTGTTAAGCTTGGGACTCGAAGTGGGGGCAATTTGTAGACACTAAAATTTTAATAGACTTTGATTTGCACAAATGGACCCATTAAATATGGGCTTAATGTTTAATTAAGTTATTTAATTGGCCCAAGTTTGGTCCACTTAAATTATTTAATTAAGCCCAGTCCATATAGTTAAATAAAAAGAATAATTATACCTAATAAAATATATTTGGAATAATTATTTTAACGGATAATTATCATAATATATCCGGCCCGGCCCAGTTATGATATTTTCCTTATCAGATAGGACACGTGTCATCATCCTATAAATCCAAGAAGCCTATAAATAGAGGCATGGAGGAAGGGAGAAAAGGTACACAAAGTCAGAATTCAAAAATCTAGAATTCCAAAGAGAAATACAGAAACTCTCATCCCCAACATCCAAACCCAAAAGCGAAGAACACCAAGCACATCAAATCGTGCCGTTCTTCATCAAATTCCACGGTAATCAACAACAAGTACAGCCAAAGACGTGCCGCAAGATCAAGCCTGTGCAGCCCTTAGATCCAACCAATCAATAACAAAAAGGAGATTGAATCAGAGGACAAGTTCTTTCTTTTGTAAAGAATATTACAGAGGATTGTACCCCATCTATCCAAATTAATAAAATTATATTATTTGCTCCATATTTTGTTTCTATTGTAGACTTACAAAATTTGTGTGTACAGAGTATTCCTTGGCTTAGGGTACAAGTCAATTCTAATTTCTCATTCATTTCAAAATACTTTGACTTTAAGTTGTAAACCCTTCTACCAGAAATAAATTTATGAATTTAAATGGTGTTGATTTAGTTTTTTTTTTTTTTAATTTGACGTTGATGGGTTGGAGTTGTCTCTCGTGGAATCATGAACTAAACCAAGCCAAATTTGAAACAGTTTCGGGATTACTTTTTTATTTGGCTCAATTCTATCTTGGTTTATCTCATGACGAGATCAAAAAAACTGGTTTAACAAAGTTACAAAAACATTATCGTAATAATAATAACTCGCTTGACCATGCTTAAGACACTGAATCAAATCTACCATTGTTCAAGCTCATATTTTACTTATTGAACAAATACGAAACCAGCTTGAAACCATAATTCTGCCCAATTTGGCCTGTGGACTCTGGCATGACTGCAGTTAGTTTATGGGGTAAATTGATGAAAAATTATTATATGATTCAAGATTCAATTACCACTTGACACCTAAATAAAAAGGTGACTATAACTTCCAAGTTTCTCACACATTTGTTTAAGTGTCAAGTGGTAATTGATCCAGACCGTCCAAAACCAAGCAATAATTTTGCAGTAGCTTCAAATATTTCCATAGAATCACGGTCACTGCCGCACCTGATGAGGCCACATCAGAAAAGAATAGAGATACAACCCTCAGAGGTAGGGATGGCAAAGTTTGACACGATCAATCAACACAACAAGAACCCGACACGAGATAAACGTTTTCGATTGACCTTAAATGGATTTGAGTCGTAAATAGGTTGACAAGGTTAATCAATTTAGTTAATAATATCGTACTTGGGTTAAGGTGGTTCAACCCGTGTAATTCATTTATACACATTTAACTATATGTGTCATAAATAAATTTATATTTAAATTCCAAAATAATTGTCTAAACTTGTGTTTTATAATTTACTATTTTGTGAACTACAACTATTTAGTAATTTGGTTGTATTGAAACTTGTATTTTGTTTATTATTTATTGTTTGATTGAGTATTATTAACAATTTAAATAATATAATTTTTTATTTTAGTAAATAGGTCACATGTAACCTATTTAATAAACATGTCGGGTTAGTGTTGAGAATTCTTGACACGAATATTAAACAAGTTGTGTTTGGATTGAACTATTTAATAAAATACTTGTCAACACGACACGATTATGATTTACAAACACGAATTACCATCCCTATTCACAAGATGACAAAAATGGACCCTCAAAACCACACCTTCACCACAATGGTGTGAGGATACCTCATATGAGGCATCCGCATTCAATTTAAATATACTAACAGTGAGCCTAATCCATTTGTGAAAATAATCGCTGGTATTCATTGGTACTATATTTTTGTTTGTGTTCTAAAGTTATGTCACATGTTCAATTTGGGCTCTAAATATTAACGTAGACACTAAAATTTCATGAGCTTTTGTCTTGATAAATTAATCCATTAAATATGAGTCTCATATTTAATTAAATTATTTAATTGGCCAAAACTTGGTCAATTTTATGTTATTTAATTAGCCCAAGTTAGTTAAATAAAAAGATAATTATTTTCAATTAAACACATTTTGAAATAATTATTTTAATGGATAATTATCACATTTTAACCAGCCCGGCCCGGTTATAATTGTGTGTTTATTAAGAAAGGACACATATCATCATCCTATTCATTCAAAAATTTTATAAATAAAGGTATGGAAGAAGGAGAAATAGGGTCCACAATTTCAGGGTCCAAAAAATTCAGATAGTACAGAAATTGAGAGACTAGGAAATCCAGAGGGAAATAATAGACTAGGAAATCCAAAGGGAAATAACAGACTAGGAAATTCGGAGGAAATAATTCCTTCAGCAAATCTTCTAAAGACAAAGAACAACAAGCACATCCAAAATCTGCACATCTGAAATCGTGTCGTTCTTCCTCAAATACAACAAAGAACAACAAGCACATCAAAATCGTATCATTCTTTCTCTGTGATTCAACAAGTTTGAAGAATCACCAAATAACACTGTTCGAGGGCTTCGTCAGCCCTCGATTAAAAATCATACTTGAAGAAGATTGTTTACAGTCCAATTCAAAATCAAGCTCCAACAGCTTTAGATCCAACAAACAAAAGAAATCGAATCAGATTATACCTTCTTCCTTTTGTAAAGAATACCTCAGAAGATTGTACTCATCAATTTTAATAAATTAATAAACCTATTTCGTTATTTTATTTGCAGATACGAAATTTGTGTGTACAATTAACAATTAATATGTTGTTAGTAAGATTTTGCAATCTTTGCTCTCCTTAAACTAATGATATTTAAGAAACAATTATGGAGAGTTATGATCACAGTTATTGAAATTATTTAATCTCGTTTGTTGGATGAAATATTATTTAGAGTGGAACTTAAAATCCACATCAATTGAAAGTAATTGTAAAAAATAAATTGATTATCGCTTTGGCAATGTGCCTAAAAATAATTAGTAGTAGCATAAGTTAACCGATCGTGCGATAATAAGGGTTTTAGGGTGAAGTATTCAATGAATTGTTTTATAGACTCAAATTCTGTTAGTAATACATCTAGTACTTCGTCGCCTAAATATATCGGGGTGGTGGCGCAGTTGGCTAGCGCGTAGGTCTCATAGCTACGAGTGATCCTGAGGTCGAGAGTTCGAGCCTCTCTCACCCCATTATTTTTCCAACTTTTCATATGTGGCATAATTATATTCATATACATTATCTGAATTTTCTCACAATAAAAATAAAAATTAGGTAGAATAACATTATAATTGTTTTAAAATCCGGGACACGATATGATAAATTAAAAATAACAATATAATATTAATTATTTTATATATACAAATAATAATTTTTACTATTTTATGCATAGAAATATATAATCATAAATAAAATCATTAATTTGGAACTTAGTTTATATGTGTGTTATTTTTGTTTTTATAATTTTATATTTTTTTTTAAGTAACTCATAATATATTTTAAATTATATTGAATAATGTTGTATCCGTGTCATATTTGTAAAAAATTAAATAATAAATTTTAAAGATATTTCTAAATGCATTCGAAAAATATTTGGTGTCGAATACAACTACAACACCCTAAATGAAGTATCCGTATTTCTTGAGATATTGTTTGAGTTATCATCACAATCTTATTTACAAATTTATTATAATATAAAGAAAAAACTATCACTAACTCTTACTTTTTATTTTAAAAGACAAATAAGTTTTATAATATTTTTTTTTTTCAAAAATTGGTCCTATAAATTTTTAATATGTCCAAAAATTCATATTTGTAATATTATTTTTTATTTAAGTATTAAACCACTGAATTTTTCATTTTTTTGTACTACTTTGTAGTTTGTAGTTTGTACCCTTTTTAAATAAACATAAAAATTTGGAACTACAATTTTATCTGAAAAATATTGTCATTTTGTATTTTTGTGCGAAATTACGATACTGTTCTCTCTCTCACACACACAAATTGCCCAAACCCGTGAAAACCTTGTTCTCCCTATTTCAGGCCTCTCTCTCTCTCACTCTAGTAATCTTACTCCCGAACACAGATGCGCAAGTTAGCCTAGCCAGCTTCCTCAATTCACAACCCTTCCCCTTTCATGGCGATGAAAGCGATGGCATGTCGATCCCAAAGGTTTTTGACAGCCCAATTCGAAATAATCAGGTACATTTCCTCATACACACAATCTTCCTTTCCGTCTACAACCCCAGACCCACTCCGTGAATCACCATCGTCATCATCAGAGAACCAGTCCAGTATCATCACCATTGACGAAAGTCACGTCTTAGACCAACTCTCTCATCTGTTACCGATTCGCCGCCGTAGCGAAGCTGCTATCCCAAACCCACACGGAGAGAGCTCAATTAGGCCGGCCGTTGATGGGTTTCTACCACCGGAAGAGAAGCTGCGAGGTGTCTTTCTTCAGAAACTCAGAGGCAAAACCGCAATCGAAAGCGCATTGAAAAATGTGGGCGTCGAATTGAGTACTGATGTGGTGGCCAAAGTAGTCGACAGAGGGAATTTAAGCGGCGAAGCCATGGTAATGTTCTTCAAGTGGGCGATTCGACAACCCGAAATCTCAGACGACATTGGTAATTACCACAAAATCCTTAAAGCATTAGGCAGAAGAAAATTCTTTACTTACATGGTTGATTTATTGCATGATATGAAGCTTGAAGGAATAGCAATTAATTCTGAAACCTTGTTTATTGTTGTGGATAGCTTCATTCGAGCTCACCAACTGTCCAAAGCAGTCAAATTCTTTGGACAATTGGAAGAGTTCGGGTCAAGATGTGATACAGAGTCTTTGAATGTTCTCTTACAATGTCTGTGTCAGCGATCCCGTGTAGGTGTTGCAAATTCATTTCTTAATAAAATGAAAGGGAAAATACCCTTTAATCGGGCTACGTACAATGTTATAATTTCTGGGTGGTCAAGATTCGGCAATGTTAGTGAAATTGAGAGGTGTTTGAAAGCAATGGTAACTGATGGATTTGATCCCGATAATTCAACATTTAGCTACCTTATTGAGGGTCTGGGGAGAGCTGGTCAAATTGATGATGCTGTTGAGATTTTTGAAAATTTGGGGGAGAAAGGGTGTGGATCAGACGCTGGTGTATACAATGCATTGATTTCCAATTTTATTTCAGTTGGAGATTTTGATGAATGCATGAAATATTATGAGCGTATGCAGAGTAATAAGTGTGACCCAAATGTGCACACTTACACTATATTGATTTCTGCTTTTCTCAAAGTGCGGAAAGTAGCTGATGCAATCGAAATATTTGATGAAATGTTGGGTCGAGGGATCATTCCCACTACAGGAACTATAACCTCTTTTATTGAACCTTTATGTTCTAATGGGCCGCCACATGCTGCTATGATGATCTACAAGAAAGCAAGAAAAGTCGGATGTAGAATATCACTGAGTGCCTATAAGCTGTTGTTTAAGCGGCTTTCTAGATTCGGTAAATGTGGTATGATGTTGGGTTTGTTGGATGAGATGCAAGAAAGTGGTTATTCTTCTGATGTGAACATTTATGAGCATGTCATTCATGGACTTTGCAATATAGGACAGCTTGAAAATGCCATCCTAGTCATGGAGGAATCTCTCCGCAAGGGCTTTTGCCCAAGCAGGCTTACTTGTAACAAATTGAACAATAGATTATTGAATTCAAACAAGGTAGAGAAGGCTTACAAGCTTCATTTGAAGATTAAAGATGCTCGTCGCAACGAAAATGCACGGAAATATTGGCGCGCTAAAGGGTGGCACTTTTGAGCTTTCGTGATTATCAGGGAGCCGTCACAAGTATATCACATGCTCCCTCCACTTTATTTATCATGTTGAGGGTTCTTGTATTGTTTCTTTGAAGACTTGTCTCTCAGTAAGTTTGGTATTTGACCTCTTTTTGATGCTGTAATGTATAACTGTATAAATAGACGTTCTCACCAACTGTGTTTAAACATTCTCAATTTGCACTATATTATTAGGGTGCAAATACTATGAAAATTGACCATACCAAACCGAGCATGCTATGCTTGATTTGTATCTATAACAACATTGTTCTTAGATTTGGCTTCAATTTGTTATGTTCAGCAGCTTCAACAAAAAAAATCTGAGAATCGGTGTAGTTACGTGTGTGTGTCTGTATGTATGTTGTGATACAAATAGTTGTATTATTGATATCACCACTTTTTGCAAATGAGATTGCCTGTGCTGATTCACAGGTTCATTCTCTGAGTGGACAACAAGCACATATATGGGGATTAGTGAAGGAATTACCAATGCAGACATATACGTTGAATCTAAAGGGCTTCTAAAAGAAGATGGCAATCACCATATTACCTATCAAAAGGACCGGGGATGTGCTTTCCTTATATATCTTATGTTGCTTGGTTATTGGTGAACGCCATTCTATCTCTTCTGGGTAAGAGCAGTTGATTGTTGTATTTATTTTAAATTAAATTGAGTATAGGCGAATACTTAATGGAAAAATAATTGACTGAAAGTGAGCTTACGATCTCTTATTCTCTTGGCATAAAGACTTATGAAACTACTGTATGATGAATGTTTAGAATTTCTAAAATATTACATGGAATTTAGAACAGCAATGTTATAATATATATATATTAAGTAACTTACACTATTTTTTGGATATTTAGGGCATGTATATATATATATAAATTATATTCATTCCATTGTTATATTCTTCTTCTTCTTCTTCATTGTTTTTAAGGTAACAACACACATATACAAATGCCCAATTCACACACTCACCCTCTATTGAATTGTACTGTATTAGTATTGTGAACATGATTTATTTTTGTTATATATCTGTGATTTTGTAAAACAATCTTTTTTAGATTTTCATTTTATCATTATAGAATTCATCTTTGCCACAATAATTAGCTTTATTATGCATTGCTTTATTAAGGCTTTCTTTATGCAAAATTTGAAATGAGTATATCTTTGCCACAACATTTAGATTTTTTTTTTTTTTTTTTGTGCTTTCTTTATTAGCGACCTGAACTCCTGGTACTGTTTGGAGGACTTTACCTGTATTAGTATAGTAATAGTCCTTAGAAAAGGTCACTACTTAGTGTACATGAGGTGTTGGATTGGAAAGATTAGAGGCAGACCAAACTTTTGACATTATTTGCTTACAAAGTTGTTGCTTTTCTACTTGAACCTAGATTTTATACTTGAACCTATACAAAATTTATCATTATCATAATAATACTAATAAGAGTAAATTACATTGGCACCCCCTGAAGTTAGCTTTTATTACAGGTAGATGCTAAGTTTGGAGAAACCAAATAGACACCCCTCTCACAATTATTGTAATAACAGCATTAAAAGTGTCATGATTGCCCTTTACTTTATTAGAATTTTTAATTAAAAAATCTTGAAATGGCCATATTTTCCCCATATAACAAAAAAAACCATTCTCGGATTAATTTTTTTTTTTTCGTTAACTCTGATACTGTCCCCTGCTATAGTACGAAATTTCCTCACTGTCATATAAACCCTATATCAATAGCAAAACTCTCTGCCACCGAATGGCCAAAATTACCCTTTCTACCCCAAACTAAGATCCATTGTGTCACCTTCAACAACAAGATCATGGCCACCACCGACAATATTTATGTGTACGTTAGGGGCAACAATTCGTGTTTTCGTGTCATATACGTGTTATGACATGCCATGGATATTTTTTTATATGGGATTATGGTCCACACGAACACGACACAATTATTAAACAAATAACATGACGACTTGATTAATAAATGGTTAAAGACCTCACACGATATGACACAACACGACAAGACACGTTTAATTAAAATTGCATACTATTAAGGTCATTTTAAATACGAACACAACTTGTTTACCTGTCACGTTTAATAAAACAGGTCTAAACAATTGACGGGTCAAACACGAACATGACAAATTTAATTAGCATGTCAATTCGGGTCGACACGGTTACGATCCGAACACAATTAAGCCAAACCCAACTCCACTTATCCCATGTGATGTTCTGGTCATTTTAGCGTGACGTGTGCAGTATTGCCACCCCTAAATTATACATCAATTGAGCAAGACAAGTTGTGGCAGTGAAGGTAAACGATTGCGTTTCTTTATTCCAATCCTGTGCTATATATATAGTATATGTTAATCTATAATATATGTATATTCTGCAGCAATGTATAATCTATATATTAATCTACTAAGTTTTCAATTGTATATGTTCTATAACAAGTTCATGAGAAAGTAGAGAGAAAAAATGATTGATCAAGAAACAGAGATGAGGAACTTGGAATTCGTAGAACATCATGTAGGCAAAGAAATTGGTGGTTTGAGTACTTGATGTTCAGTTGGCTTCTTCATTGAAATTGGTGGTTTGAGTATTTGATGTTCAGTTGGCTTCTTCATTGAAGTTAGCTTCCTATTCATCTGTCACCGTCCAGTGTGAATTAGATTTATAATTCAAATGCAATGAAGACCCACTGTCTAATATAAGAAGAGAGAAACCTAACTAGTTCGAGAGAATCAGACAGAACATGAAAGTAACAGAGCACAAGACCCTTGGCTTCATCTTATGCCAAGGCCGTGGTGGTGGTGGTGTGGAGAGAAAGGGAGGGGGAGGTGATGGTGTTGATAGTGGCGGGATGGAGGCAATGGATCAAGTGCATCTATATATATATATGTAATTTGGTTAAAATGGTCATTCCATAAAGTTTATAGGGCAGAGCATTTTGGCATTTTGTTTTTACTCCTTTGACTGACCCAACGGTTGACTAATGGCAAGAGTGGTCAAGGTGATTTGGAAAACCTTGGGGCAGGTTGATCGCCATTTTTTCAAAACTTTAATCTGACGGTGATTTCGAAAAACCTTAGGGGTCTGAGATATATATATTACACATCAAACCCCTAAGGAAGTGCAAAAGAATAAAGATGATAAAAATTTATGCAGGAGTTAATGTTATGCCTTCTACTTGAAACTTCCTGGTAAATTTTCATACCATGTTATGTCTCCAGGCTCCAACTAGGAATCAAGGCGAATATTTGGAGGCAAATTTTGTTTCTGTGCTTGAGAAAAAGTATAGTATCTCGATAAAATGATTAAGTTCCTCCAAGTTGCCCTCTTAGTGTTGATGACTACATGCCGGAGGTGTGTCTTCGCCCAAAAAACTACAAAATCTGGCAAATTATTTACTTAATGTCTGGTCCATTCTTTATGTATGCATTACACTAAATCTAGTCCTTTTAATCATGCAGGATAATGCACATCCACCACCAGCGACTTGGGATTACAACAAAGCCATTAATCTTCATGGCTACGAGCCAATGGAATGTAAAGAAGATGCAGGTGAAAAGGCCAGAACTAGTAGTGGCAGGCAAAATGAGAAGTTATATATTGCTTAAGGCACACTCAACACGATGTTGAAAAGAGCAGAGGAAAAACAGAGAAGGCCAATAAATTACCGGCCGCAGAAAATGCAATGGAAGACAATGATTATGACTTCAAGGTGGATTACACCAGGAGGAGATCTGTCATGGTCCTCATGGATGATGGTGAAGATAGTGGGATAGCTGGATCATAGCAATTAAAACAGGTTTGAGTTACCACTGTCTGGTATTGCTTTCGAGTTTGACAATGGATGATGGGAGAAATAGCCTTAGGAAAAAGAAATAAAGTAGGGAAAATAATTGCATTTACAGAGCCATGGATTTGAATTTTGTTAAATTTTGCTTATGAGTAATGTTTCTTTCTTGATTCGATGTTGAAAAGTTGAAGTTTGGCGGTCATAATTTTAATTACACTCAAGACTAAAAGGATGAAAAGGGCCTGTGAATCTTATAAAAGTTACCTAAATCCACTTATTTTCTTTCTGGCAGGTCGTTGTTCAATTTTATAAAATGATAATTTTGTTATTCTTTTGTATGAAAAGACAATAGGGTAAATTACAGTGATATACCGGTGGATTAATATGATAAAAGATTTTATAAAATTCTAAATAAGATGCAAAGGAAACTCATGAACCAAACGAGGGAAGTCAAGTTGTGGGTCAAGCATGAACGACCTATCATGATGGGTAGGTGTTGGTAGGTACCATACTTAGATAAACAATAACCATCAATATATGATAGTGTTGTTGGGTCTTTGAATTAGGAATTCTACATGTTTGGGCAGCTATTTTGGATGTCCCGACGCACTCATAATCACAATAAAATTAGGTGATTGATTTTGATGTTGTAACAATCTTAAGAAATACACAAATTTGGATGTTGAATGATTTTGAAGGCAAGAGGGCCATGTAAAATTAATAGGTTTAAAGTTTGAGTCGAATTTGTTTATGTTATTCTTATTAGTGGTTTAAACCAATCATATTGTAAATGCATTCTAATTTGGAACCTAATTTTAAAGTTGATTAAGGGTATAAAGTCCCTTTCTTCTCACTTAAAATTTTGTATTTGTTAATTACGTCTTTGATTAGGTGAAAATGCTGTCAGACATGGTTGTACTAGACAATCTACCTTGTAAAAATACTCATTTGGTATTGTACATGTTTTAATTCAACCGTTGTAAGGGGATCAAAATCCTCTTCGATGCACCTGAGCTTTCAGATGCATGGGTGGGGATCATTTAACAATAGGCCTCATCGTTTGTGGAAGAAATTTTTATATGGTCTGAGATTACATGGTCCTGACCAATAACAACATGACACGCAAGTAAAAATTTAAATAAAATTAACACATTTATTTACATTTAGCCGGAATTATATACTTCCAGACCATGTAAAAAAATTTCCTTTTTATGAAGTCATTTCCATTGGTTGTGGTGCACTGAAATGATCATCCTCGTTGTAAAGTGGTCAAAAAGATCTTGATACTTCAAAGAGTAGATGATGTTCGGATATTTAAGTCTAGTATATTTTTTCCCCTAAATTTTATCATTTATGCACTTATCAAAAAATATATATATATTATCATATATGCAAACATATTCCAAACATGCTGTAAATTTGAACTTCAATCAAAAGCATTGTTGTGTCAAAATCTCTCTACCACTAAAAAAATACTTTGTTGTGTTAAAACAAAAAAAACAAATAAAAATAACTTTTCAAACTAAAAAAAATAATCTTCTGGCTTAACGAACCACAACATAAAACAAGTAATAACATCATTTTTGGCTCTTGTACAAAAATTAGAAAGAGATTATATTAAAAATTGAAATTAGAATGCATGTAATTAGTTGTTTAAGCTTTCTAACCTTGTTCTGATTAGAATACAGTGTTGAATTACAGCAATGTACAATCTGACCATTTGATACAATTACTTACATAACTTGGAAGGGCAAGAATTTAAAAGTTCACTATTTTTTGGGCTCAAAAGAGAAAAACGCAAAAAAGAATTTGTTCTACTTTTTCTTTTGCTCACTTAAAAAAAAATTAAAAATAAAATAAAATAAAATAAAAAAGATATTAAATTATTTTTATGAAATTATGTAAACACTTATATTCTAAATTAAAATTTAAGTTTTTTTTTTTTCCCGAAATTAAATATTAAGTTCAAACTATCAAACTATTAAAATTGACTGGACTAGTCCAAAAAAAAATCCAAAATATAAATATAAATTTAAAACCGTGGTGGCATTTCCGTTATTTCCCTTGACGAGGAAGGGTTGTTAAACAACTCGGAACAATTGTTTATAACTTCCAATCGAAGTGAAAATGAAGTAAATTCAAATTCTCTCTCTCTCTCTGTCACAACACACACACAAACACAGACACAAACACCGACACGCACTTTTCTCTCTCTCTCAAAATAAATACTGCACTCTCTCTTTCTCCCTCTCCACAAAATAAAATTCTTTGGCTCATTGTCCCCCTTGTCGGCACGCCTCCTCTCCCTCTCTCTCCTCACATTCTGGTTTCTCTCTCTACTTTCTCTCAGTAGAAGAAGGGCTAGGGTTTGTGTGTGAGAGAGAGATGGGACAACAGTCGCTAATCTACAGCTTCGTGGCCAGAGGAACGGTGATTCTCGCTGAATACACGGAATTCAGCGGCAATTTCACCAGCATTGCTCATCAGTGCCTCCAGAAACTCCCTGCCACCGACAACAAGTTCACCTACAACTGCGATGGACACACCTTCAACTACTTCGTCGATGACGGCTTCAGTGAGTCCCTCCTCCGAAGATCAATTCATTCCTTTTTCATTTGCTCCAATCTATTTATCAATCGTAACTGTTTAGTAGCTCGATATGTTTGTTCCTGTGATTTACTTATGTTTTACCTTATTATTGTGTGCATCATTTGGTTACCTCTAACTTGGAAATGTGATGGAATGAAGTTTTAGATTCTAGTTTTGGTACTGTATAGTGAGTGCCGGCCTTGTGCCATTGGCACAAAGAAAAGGTTGCTCCATTGTGATTAGGAGGTCATGGGGTCGAAACTTCGAATGAGATCTCTAGATCCCGCAATGTGGGTGCCCGGGCTAGTCCCTTTTAGTACCGGGTAGCACTGAGGGTTTTGGTACTATGCTGACAGCATTTTCCAGTGTTTGGCTTCTTGTAAAATCTTTCACACAAGCCTTTAGGAAAACGATAATAGCTTAGGAAATTGGGGTATGACTTATGGATTTTTCTGTGTCTTGAAATTGCACTAAAAAAAATAATAATAAATAAACAGAAAGAAAAATACTTTAAGGACAGTCATGTCTATAGATGTAAGAACGTAAATACACAAACATGGTACTCTATGCATCTGTACACACATATACAAAGTTATATGTATATGTATATATAAGGTTGTCTATATATACTTTGTAAGTATTATTGTATATACTATATAGTCAGATTCATACTTGTTTCTGTGTCAATCCATATGTAAACTAATAGAAAATGTTTCTATTCTCATTTAAATACTTGCTTATATAAATGTGCACAATGCAATTTCTAAGAATTGGTAACTTATTTAACAAAACTTTACCAAACACCAGAAAATAAGCAAACAAAAAAAAAATCTTTTCATATAAAATATTTTCCAATTGTAAAACATTTTATGTTTCTTTCAGTACAACTTAATTCCTTTTTCTAGTTTTATGTACAATCGAAACGGTAGTGGTTTTCTTGCCTTTTTGTTTTGTTTTTAAATAATTTTTGGAGTGCCAATTCCTTGGATCGGTCCTGAGTAATTTTCTTGTATTTTCTGCTTCTAAATTTTGCATGATTAGTTCTCTAGATTACATTTTTGAGTTAGATGCTCAAATTTGATTCATATCAATGTGAATCTCTGATTAATTCTTCTGCTTATTGTAGCTTGTGCAAAAGATAGCAAGCATTTGTTAGTTGATTTGTTTTCTACTTCTTTTGAGATTGATAGGAGTCCAGGAGATGGCCAAAGAGAGTAATCAGAGCTTACTCTCTAAAAATAATATTTTAAACATTTTGTCAGTATGTTGTTTCAGGTATAGATATGGATATTTGAATTGTTGGTCTCATATTTTTGGTTAGCATGTAACTATGTTAGTTAATATTTTGAAAGTAGTCTTTGTGTGTGTGTGCATAAACATGGTTCCTTACATAATATCGATCTAGAATCTATTGTTTAAATATATAGCTATCAAATTTGTGGACAAATATCTTGATGATTTTAATGCAAAAGCCTGGTACAAGTTATCCAGGGGATATTTCCTGTTATAAGTTGTTCAATCAGTTAACGTGCATTTTATGTCCAGTATGGTGGTTGATATTTTGAGATTCTTTTTTGTTTGTTTGTTTGTTTGTTTGTTTGTTTAAGCTTCATTAGTTTTTTCGTGTTATATTTCTTAATACATGAATTGTTGCATGTTGCATTCGTGAGTTTTTATATGTAAGCTTCATTAGTTTTTTTCGTGTTATATTTCTTAATACATGAATTGTTGCATGTTGCATTTGTGAGTTTTTATATGTAAGCTTCATTAGTTTTTTTCGTGTTATATTTCTTAATACATGAATTGTTGCATGTTGCATTCGTGAGTTTTTATATGTATATGCTAATTTATTAGCTTTAGGAGTGGTGGTTGTGGAATCTTAATATGTAGTTGGCCATAAGGGGTCTTTTGGAGTTTGCTTATTTTGTTGTGGCCTAATTGTTCTTGAGCACACTTTTCGATTGACTTGGTTTACTCTTCGATTGGCTTGGTTCTTCAGTAGTTTTAGTTATTTTTTCCCCGATTGCATATCTTATTCATTTGCCTGATATCTGTTTTAACTGGGTGCAGTATTCTAGTTTAATCTCCTCCTCAAATCATAGGGTTTGATAATCTTCCTACTATAATGATAAAACAAGAACCTAATGTAATATTGCTATTTTTATTGATTTAGTCGAAGTTAATTTCTATTTTTTTTCAATTAATAAGCAGGCTGATGGCTTGAATAAGGATTTCACAATTAGGGATCATGTTTTTTGCTCAAGCCTCGTGATAAATATAAATTTTGTAGCTGTTTTACGGTTACCTCAGGCGATTTAGATGCATCATTCTCCATTTTGGATACATCTCAATTTTATTGTTGATCTGTGTTGTTATCTAGCCTAAAGATCAGTTCACAGGTGATTTAGCTGTTTATTTTTGATACCAGGATTGTGCAATATGAAGGTTTTAGGCAAATTTATAATCACTGCTCCTTGTACAGTTTTGAATTTTGTATCTATGAAAAAAAAATTAGGCTTTTGATACTAGTCTCAATTCTAATGTCAGAATCTCATGCTTCAAACGCTAAGTGAATAGAATGCTTTTTATGATACAATGTTTCTGACTCTTTAATTCAAAGGAAAGATTCAGTGCAATCCTGTCAAGTAGATTGACTCATGATGGAGTGCGTTCCAAATCTGATAAAATTGTGTCTCCATTAAATGATGGCATCTAGTTGGATTATATGTATGTGTAAATCACGTTTGTTTATATATATTTGTAAAGAGGTTTAAGAGTTTTGACACACACACACACACATCCATCCGATGATAGTTAATCGTTACACATTGTTTGGTTAGAGCAGAGAGGAGAGAAGAATAATTCTAAAAAGATCTTCCCCTTTTCACAAATGGTTCATTGAAGGAGGACCCAAAAACAGAAAAAAGGAAGAAGAAGAAAGGAAATTGGGTGGCTGGGGAGAGGATATCTCTATCCTGTCACACAGAAACTCTCACTTCAAAAGTGAGGTGATTGGGATTGGATAGAAGAATAACTTTTAGCATGGGGTAGAAGTAAAAAAAAGAACTCGAGTGAGCCCTTTTAATTCCCTTCTTTTCCTTCACATATTTCTAATGGCTTTATTATTTTTTCTTAATAAGGAACCTAACAAAATTTCTGCCTTTTGGCAATGGAAGTTCAACCCATTTGTCACCACTTTGTCCCACTCCTAATGGTACTGGTTTTTCGAGGGTTTGAATTCGGGTAGGGGTGCATTCAGGTTTGAAGTTGAAACCTAACCGCAGTAAAGGACAACCTGTTGGTTAGGTTTTTAGAGAAGCAGTAACCACAACTTTCATTTGAAAAATTAGTAAAAGAACAACATCGAAGTCCTGATGCTTTTGGTATGGTAAAGAAGGTGAAAATTTTGTTCTGGTGTTTCACCGAAACAACAGGAACTATGAATTGGGTTCATATGATTTGATGCTTTGGGTGCTTGGTTAATCACTTCATTTTGTTCTTTAGGACGATTTAGATAATCTTCTTTTTGGTCATTTTTGTAATTCTTATTTCTTTTCTTGAACTAGTTCATCTTTGAATGTTGCAGCTTATTGTATTGTTGCGGTGGAATCTGCTGGCAGACAGATTCCAATGGTGTTTCTAGAGCGAATTAAGGAGGATTTTACCAATAAATATGGTGGAGGAAAAGCTGCAACAGCTGTTGCTAATAGTTTGAACAAGGAGTTTGGGTAATTTCTCTGTCCATTCCCCACTATACATATTGCTTTTGGTGCATTTTGACGTAAGTCTGTTTTTTGTTTGGTTGAAATGTGTTAATAATATAGGCCTAAGCTGAAGGACCAAATGCAGTACTGTGTGGATCATCCGGAAGAGATTAGCAAGCTAGCAAAAGTGAAGGCTCAGGTTTCAGAAGTCAAAGGAGTGATGATGGAAAATATTGAGAAGGTAAGTCGAAACTATTATTTTTTGGTTGTCATATGCAATAACTAATCTAAGATCTTCTCTTGTGCCTCTTCTGTGTGAAGGTCTAGTTATTAGTGTACTTTACAGGATCATAAGAAATGTTAGATTTGTAAATGTTGTGTGGTGGTTTGGTATTAAGAAAGTTCTAACTTTGTAGGTTCTCGATCGTGGAGAGAAGATTGAGCTTCTTGTTGATAAAACAGATACTCTTCACTCTCAGGTGAGTTGCTGCAAATACCTATATTTTTTTAAGGCTGAAAATTGACCAGTGTCTCTTACATTTAGAGGATTGACAGATGAACATTAACTGGGACACGCACCTTATTGCATAAAGTGGCTGTTTCAAGACTCAAACTCATATCCCCATGCTTGCTAGCTCAGTAGCTCGAATTGTGCCATTTTCCCTAAGCAATGACCCGTAGTAATGTGTTAAAATTATGGAACTTCATTTGCCTTGTATCTTGTGTCATCATTAATGTAGTTATGTATTGATATGCATGCAGGCACAAGATTTCAGGTCACAGGGAACCCAAATGAGGAGGAAGATGTGGTTACAAAACATGAAGATAAAGCTGATAGTTCTTGGTATCCTCATTGCTTTGATTCTAATCATAATTTTATCGGTTTGTGGTGGCTCCAAATGTAATAACTAGTGTGTGATCCTAGCACATGCTTGCTTAGGATGGTTGAGAGCACATTGTTCCTTTCAGTCTAGTATTTTTTGCTTACTTGTTTGCTATGATTTTTTTATGTTTTTTTTTAAATCCGGGGACACATTTTGCCCTAGTGCTGTTCTCTGTTTTGTTGGTCTATACCTGTATAGTTTGTAATCTGGATTCCATCAATATTGGTATAAAAAAAGGTGGTATTGTTATGCTTCTTTTTCTTCTCTTTTGCTAGGAGGGTGTTTTTTCAAATGTTTTTTTAATTGAATTGGAATGGGAATAAGTGATTTTAGATTGTTCATCGTAGTGTAACTAGTGATTACTATATCAGCCTACTAGCTATATATATATATATATATATATATATATATATATATATATTCCGTAAAAATAAAAAACTATCGATCTTCAAATAATGTAGTCTTTTCTTATTAAAAGACTTGCAATGCATTCTTATTAAAATCTTTGATGAGGTTTGATGTAAATGGTTCTTTCAAGTTAAGTCTTTGATTTTGTCGTGAAATTGATTGGTCATGGAACGCTGCAATGAAATATTCAATAAAATAGAACATTCAGAAATTGGCTTCTACAGTTGGCCAAGTAAGAGCAACAGAATTGACTAGCTTGCCATTGATTCCATGATGAGAAAAACAAAAACTATTTCACGACCAAAAGATAACAAAAGCCAACAATTTTCACACTTTGAAATCAGACTATGCACATAATAACTGCTGGGATAACGCAATCGTTTAGCTAAAAGCAAAAAAGCACATCGACCTCCAGTTATGCCTGGTCGCCGCCACCCCTTGGCTGGTTGCCCATCCGTCCGCGGCCACGCCCACGTCCACGCTCGCGTCCGTAATCTCTGGCCTCTCCACCTCTGCCTCTTTCATATCTTGCGCCAAACTCGCGTCCATAATCTCTGGGCTCTCCACCTCTGCCTCTTTCATATCCACCACCAGGCTCACGTCCATAATCCCTGGCCTCTCCACCTCTGCCTCTTTCGTATCTAGCACCAGGCTCGCGTCCGTAATCTCTGGCCTCTCCACCTCTGCCTCTTTCGTATCTTGCACCAGGCTCGCCTCCGTAATCTCTGGCCTCTCCACCTCTGCCTCTTTCGTATCTTGCACCTGTTGAGAGAGAGAGAGAAGGAAAAAAAACAAGTGCTCAAAATGATCAAACTAAATAACAATCTAAACATGTATGCATGTGTGGAGGAACTAGCAATAATTAAGAATCGAATTATTTATTTTCGTGGCATATAAAGCAGGGATGTATGAGTTTGAGCCCTTTACATTAATATGTGTGCGTGCTAACGCACACCTCCATCAATTATTACCTACCAAAACACACATTTAAACAGAAGTGTAACCAAGAATCATCCTGAAATATGAGATTCCCAGTGCCAGTGTCACATAAGAAATTATGCACACAAATAACTGGAGAAAGCATACGAACCACGATAGCCCCAACCTCTGCCACGAGTGCCACCTCGGCCCCAATTTGAATACGGACCATTTTCTATCAGCAGAAGAAATGTAGCAAAAAATCAGGAATAATAATCAGGTAAAAATAAAATTACTAGATGATTTGCATGAAAAAAGTAGAGCTTAAAACTAATACCTTGATAGCTTCCATATCCACCCATACTCCGAGCATTTTCTATCAAAAAGAGGAATGCAGCAAAAATCAGGAATAAACATTGTAGTCATACAACACATTTGAAACAAGATTAATTGTTAATTTGCATGAAAAAAAAACAAAAAAAAAAATGCTTAATACTTATTACCATGGTAGTTTCCATAACCTCCACTATTCCGAACATCGTCTATCAGAGAAGAAGTGTAGCAAAAATCAGGGAAAATATTTGAATTTTGAAGTCATATGTTGATGATTTGCATAAGGAAAAAGTTAATGCTTACAACTTGTACCTTGATAGTTTCCATAACCACCCCTACTCTGAATATTGTCTATCAGAGAAGGAACATAGCAAAAATCAGGGAGAAAATTTGAAGTCGTATGCATTAAAAATAAAATTACTTGAACAAAAATCAGGGAAAAGATTTGTATTTTGAAGTCATATGTTGAAGATTTGCATTAAGAAAAAGTTAATGCTTACAACTTGTACCTTGATAGTTTCCATAACCACCCCTACTCTGAACATTGTCTAATAGAGAAGGGACATAGCAAAAATCAGGGAGAAAATTTTAAGTAATATGCATAAAAAATAAAAATTACTTGATAGTTTGAATTACATAATTAATGTTTAAAATTAATACCTTGATAGTTTCTATATCCACCTCTACTCGAACCCCAACCTCTCCCTCTACCACGGCCTCGTCCTCTCCCATACGAATCTAATAATCCGATGTACAATGTGTTAATATAAATAATAATGACATTTTAAAAGTAGCTTCCATTTTGAATCCTTGTTGCTGACATCACCTTCATTAGCAGCATTATTAGGTGCATGTGCTTGTCTAGGTTGTTGATGCTGATAATCATTCTGTGGCTTTGTTTGCTCCACAAAAGCTGGAGCTTGATACCTGTGCAGAAAATTCAGAAGCAGAAAGAACATGACAAAATGAGTTACAACAACAACAACTTGGCAATAAAATGTTAAAACACACTTTAGCATAACAGATCTATAACCATGAAACAGGCCAAGGGTTATCTATATTCCTGCAAGGCCAATAACAGGATAGCAAGTAGATGATTAGCAAAAAGCAGCAGTTTAAGCAGAAATTTCAGAATTTCTGAGCAGGGTTCAATTCTTGCTATCCTTACAGCCACCTAGTCACAATTTAGATGACCTAAAATTTACCCTGGAGAATTCTGGCTTAGCTCTTTAGTTGACAAGGTAATTGAAATCGCTGAGACATGGCGAGTCATCTCCACACTGCATCAGACATTAATTTCCAAGTATCAGAAGTATTGCTTCAGTGTACATTTATTTGGAAGTGGTAAAGAAGCTTAGAAACTTACGGCAAAAGACCCTCTTCAATGGGTTCCCACACATCAGTTATGCTAACTGAACTGATGGCTGTATCTTGATGCAACCGGGGGAGTCTCCTCTATTAGAATAATAGCACTTTTACTTTTGCATATGAACTGCTAAAAAAAATTGGGATGAAAGAAAGTGAAGATTGTCAATAAAGAAGATGAGCCAACCTTTATAATCTCTGCAATGGCTACTGTCTTGTTTATTGCCTGTCCCATTGCTTTCAAGACAATCTCTTTCCCACGGTTCTCCTGAATGAAGGACCATAATTTAACATGATATATAATAATAGCATATAATTCCATATACCAGAAACAAAAACAACATTTGAATAAACTCTATTATGCCTTACTCTCACTGCTAAACGAAATAGATCAGGCAATACAGCTAATGCAAAAGTGGAAAAAGAAAATCTAGAGCCCTGATTCCTTCAAGTAACAGACTCAAAATTGTCCCAGGCTCCTATACTATAGACCATGCCAGTTTGCCAGGAAATATATCACCAGTTTGACCTCAATTTCCGAGAAACATTACACAAATAAACTCAACACAGAAAATAAAATCTCCATCATAGCTAATTCAATTTTGATGAACCCGGGCCAGTGCGCAATGCCAATATTCTGCTGTTCAAATATGTTCAAACTTCCAACTGAAAAGAATATACAAAAACAAGTAATAAGATCTATCCCACCACAAAGGTTTCGGAACCAAACTGCAATTTTACTAGAGCAGAATCCAAAATCCCAGACTACAATTGATTTTATTGATGAACGTTAGGCTGTGAATATATCAAAGAAAATGAAGTTTGCCCGATAAAACGGCCAAATCAATCATCACTTGCTAATCCCAATCCACCTTGGCACCACAAGAAGTTATGAGACACTTATGGAGCTCCAATCTCAAACCAGATGAAGTTTCTAGCACAACGGCAGATTGCATTTTAATTTTTAATGTCGTTGCTTAAAATGAAACCTAAAACAGAGCAGTTTCACAGAAAATTATGCTATAAATGGAGCTGCTTGAACTTCACAGAGTTTGGGGCCCATAAAGGTCTAATCAGTTCCTCCAGCCAAGTCCGAGCAATTGGCAACTCAAGATGGTTTGTTTTGCTGTGCAAATTGCAAATCCGCCATTCAACCTTACAAACTCAATCAAATATAGGTGTAGCAACTGTTGCAGCATTGATAAACCAAGGAACAGGATTTAAACAAATTAAGTGCTATCTCAACTCTCAAGTGATTGTGTCTCAAGCAGTCAAGCTTGATAATGAACAAGTCAATCCAAATTCAGTTGGCTATCCTTAAAGTGTATAGCTTAAACTTGACTCTATTTCATGCTGTCCATTAGTAGCCTTTTCCTACCTTGGTTCGATTAAGTTTAGACAAGCTTGAGGTCCACTAACAGGAGATCATCCTGGTACTTTATTTAGCACTCGTTTCCTCCAGTCTTCCTTCCATCACCCCGCATAAGCAGGGACCGGAACTGGGTACATCTCATAATACTGAATCAACTATAAGGTTCTCTTCCGCCTTTATGATTCTAGAGACACGTAAAAAGGATTAAAATAATATGCCTTGTAACCTTCATTCTGATGGTGAAAGAAACCCATAGGTGATATTATTGGTGCTTACCTGATGCCACAATTTTAAAAAGTTAAATTAATTTAGATGCTTGAATCTTTCAGTTTATATTACTATGTATTTAATCTGCCATTAAAAATAATCTCCACTCAAGAAAACCTAGCAATTAATGCATCCCAGCAACTTCTTTAAACAATCATTTAAAAGACCAAATCAAAAGCTTCAAGGATGAGATCAATGAACTTGGAACTTTACTAGGGTTGGCAGGTGATCAAATGATTTAACAATATAAAAAAGACGTGTTCAGCTGTGAAATGATAACATGTTGAGACCATGAGGGTACGGCAATTTAGGCATTAAAAGAGGACTTGTATTAATATAGGAGAGAGGGGGGATTTTATATGTATAAATTTACATATTCAGGCTTATCGTGCTTCCAATCAAGCCCCAGCAGCCATAAGCTTGATGGGACTTGCTCCGAGCCTAGTGAACCCAAGTTCTATCCAACATGAACAATTATGATTCAGCCCCAAAAGAACCTAAGGTCAGTCGGCAGCCATTGCTTTAAGGGAAAATTATTGATAAATCCTACTTTTTCCTTTTAAAGACAAATAAGTCCCATCAAATTTTAATAAGGCGAGTAACTCCTAATTTTGATCGATGTTTCTTTATTAGTTCTAAATCTTTCAAATTTTTTAATTTACCCATTGTATTTCTGAATATAATTCTTCTAATTTTGGTTTTCAGTTCATCAATATTTTTTGTTCAAAATTTAAATTTATTTTTTAATATTCCTTTAAGTTTTAAGTTTCCTTCACAAGCACACTCATACTCCAATTTCCACTTGATACTTCATCGGCTTATTTGGTTTCAGACTTTGAGGACCAATTATGTCATTTTCATTTTAGAAAAACAACTGGAATAGGAAAGTAGTTTTGGGAAGTGTGCATAGCATTGCCCCTCCTTTTAATGCTCTCCATAAATGCTAAAATTTAGAACAACAACCATTCATGAAAAAATTAAATTAGAAAGCACATCCGTGCAAAGGGTATATATGACACCGCAAAATGCATTTTTATCATATTCTACTACCTCACAAAACTTCCACATATGCATATATGAAACATTGAAACCATAGAGCAATCAATATATTGGCAAATGCATCTCTTGAAAGACCAATATAGATGACGTGCAAAGTACAAAACAATAATGGGTAAAAAGAAATAAATCAGATGCCCAATCAAAAAAATAAAAAATAAAAAATGTAAATTGACTGGTGCCAAATGTGGCCACTGCAAGATTACTATAAGAAATGTAACACTTGAATGAAGCAAACAAAGAATATAATAGAAGAAAAGAAACTCGGGACTGGATCAACCCATAAACCCCTCAGTAATTCTATAACCACCACAAAGAACAACCATGTAATTTTATATAATGTAATTCATGACAAAATTAAATTAGAAAGCACATCTGTGCGAAGGGTAAATATGACACCGCAAAATGCATTTTATTATATTCTACTACCTCACAAAACTTCCACATATGCATATATGAAACATTGAAACCATAGAACAATCAATTTATTGGCAAATGCATCTCTTGAAAGACCAATATAGATGACGTGCAAAGTACAAAACAATAATGGCTAACAAGAACTAAATCAGATGCCCAATCAAAAAAATAAAAAATAAAAATGTAAATTGACTGGTGCCAAATGTGGCCACTGCAAGATTACTATAAGAAATGTAACACTTGAATGAAGCAAATAAAGAATTTAATAGAAGAAAAGAAACTCGGGACTGGATCAACCCATAAACCCCTCAGTAATTCTATAACCACCACAAAGAACAACCATGTAATTTAATATAATGTAAGTAAAAGGTACAGAATTCATAAAATATTTTTTTCTCCTCCCAATAAAATATTTCAAAGATGAACCTAAAATTATCATACATATGGGGTACAAAAAATCAACTTACCGAAGTGGGGAAATAGGGTGACTTACAGCCATAAATTAATTTCTATAAAGAACCATACAACCGCATGAAATAGAAACTTAACTACAGCCCAGAAACCAAGCAGAATACAGTAGGTCAATATATAGATGAAATTGCGATAGTATCAATCGGATAAGAAATAAATAGGTTGCCAAGGTAACAGAATCATCCAAGGATTCCAAACATTGAAAGAACCCTAGCAAAGCCCATGAAACAAAAATACGAACACAAACACTACCAAACAGAGTTCAACGTGAAAAACTTACATTACTAATTGAAGGAATTTCATACAATCGTGTTTTCAGATAATGAAAATCAAAGAAGAGAAAAACAACTTCAAACCCTAAAATCAAACCAAAACAAATACAGTATAATCAACTCAAACACCAGCATATATACATTTTTCATACAACAATCACCAAATCAAGGAATCCTCGAGTAAACAAGAACAATACAATCAATATATGCAAAGATTAAGCGAACATTTCGATGAAAAAGTACCTGAAGAAGACTAGTTGCATAGCTAACATAGTTCCTGACCAAACCTTGTGCGGTGATTCTGATCTCATTCTCGTTTCTTGCTAATACGGGCTTCGGTTTCTCGACTTTCTGGTATCTATCCATGGGTTTGGATTTTAGAGAGAGAGAGAGAATAAAATGAGGAGGAATAGGAAGATAGTGGAGAGAGAAAAACCCTAAAACCCTTTTTTCGCAGAGAGAGAAAAGGCTAAAACCTCAGCAAAATGTTATCGCCATATTGAGCTACTCTACTTTTTTTCCCGGGCTGTGAAGCCGTTTCTACAAAGGAATATTTGAGGAGAGAGAGGTCCACGCTCCAATAAAGTGCGTGAAATTGGACGATTTGTGTGCCGGGCAATAATATAATATAATCTTTATTATTTTTAGGATAAATTGCACCGCACTCCTAAGGTTTAGGTCAACGTCACTCAGCGGATGATCAACGTACTTGTTTACATTGACACTCCCAAGTTTCAAAAGTTTACATACACACCCCCTCTACCAAAGAAAATGACCATTTAAACATTTGACTTGGTCAACAAATAGTAAATTACTAATATAACCTTGAAAACTAAGTTTTGAAGGACCAAAATAACCTTCAATTTTCAATCTCTCTCTAACCATGTACCTTCTGTCACTACACCACCCACCATCGTTGCCCCCTTCATCCCATACCCTCTCTGTCACTATACACCACCCACCATAGCCAAGACAAACCCACCACAACCATCGCCATAGCTGCACCCACACACACCACCAAGCTGAACCCAAGACGAACCCATTCTCGCTCAAGGTAGGACTCGCCCAAATGCTTCGCGGCAGAGCAAATTGTCTAAGTCACCAACTCCAACCATGCCAAGATCATCGAATCTGTCGCCGCCACAACACCTTAACGTCACTAAGCAGCACCCCGACGCTATCGATTTTGGCAACTAGATTGAGTGAATCAGTCGTGACGGTGGCTCATCCAATGGCAACGGCTTCTCTTTAACGCGTTGGCGGTGTGTGGTTGTGGCACTGTGTGGTTGTGGCAGTGGGTGTGGCATTATGGGTGTGAATTGTTTGATGTTGCAGCGGTGGTTGTAGCAGTGTGTGGCGATCTATGGGTGTGGCAGGGTGTGGCAGTCTGTGGGTGTGGCAGTGTGTGGTGGTGGTGGGTGTGAGGGATTACAGGGTTAGGGTTAGGGTCAGGGTTATTTTTATCAATTAACAGATTCAGGGGTAAATATAACTTTTGAAATCTCAGGGGGTGTCAATGTAAACTAGTGCATTATCCACTTTGTAACATTGACCCAAATCTCAGGGTGTGTGAGTATAATTTACCCTTATTTTTATATTAATCTTGTTATACATAGTATGTTTTAAAATTGAATTAGAATTCCAAACATTTTAAAAATAAAATTAAAATTGCATAATATGTGAAGTTATGGAACACTTTTTTACATTCACATGAAGTCAAACTTTTCAAATTTTAAATGGGTGATTGTGGACATGAATAAACATGGTACATTATTTTGAATTATCTAATGTGTTCTTTTACATTATTATTATTATTATTTTTTTTATCTGAACAAAGATACAGGGAGGGCAGAAGCCCAAACAAAACAAACCACAAAACAGTAGCCTGGAAGAGGAGGAAGATCCTTCTCAATAGCATAGAGGAGCCATTCAGGCCAAATGTCCCATGACAAATCCGAAGAGTGAGAGCGAAGGGAAGACTTGCATATAGCATGAGCCACACCATTGCAAGAGCAAGGAGCCCAACACAGCGAGCAATCCACCAAAGAACCCATCAGAAAATGAATATCTTCCATCACAGTCAAAAGAGAAGAAGACAAAGGGGAAAGAGACACCACTGACAAACAATCACCTTCAATGTCCACATGCTGATACCCCCAGTCGCGCAAAAGAGAGAGGCCCTCCCTAAGGATAATGGCTTCAACCATTTCAGCAGAGCCAATGAAAACCTTAAAAATAGAAGCAATCTTAATAGGGTAGCCAGAGGAATCACAGAGGATAAAGCCCCCTCCACCCTCACCACAACCAGATGAAAATGAAGCATCACAGTTCAGTTTCAGACGCCCCACAATAGGAGGTAACCACTGAGAAGGAGCATGCGAGCGAGGAAGCGACGGAGGGGAAAGCAAAACCTGTTGAGACACAACCTCGACAAACTCTTGAAAAGAAGAAATGGCCTTTCGAACCACCTCTAAAACATCACGCTGAATATGCTTAAAATGAAGGTTATTCCTAGCCTTCCAAATATGCCAACAAATAAAGCTCCCCAGACCACACAAATCATGAAAAATGTGGCAATGTTTCCAACGAGTCACAAGAGAATCCCAAATAAGGGACCAAGGCCTGTTTTTCGAATCTGGTAAAACAACTCGAAGAGGAGAAGCTTTCCACACTAAGCAAGAAAATGGGCAAGTGAAAATAAGGTGAGAAACAGATTCCTAAAAAAGGCCACATCTGGGACAAGTTGAGTTAGCCACCACATTACGACAATAAAGCTTAGAAAGGGTAGGGATCCGTTCATGACAACATTGCCAAAGGAAGAAAAGAAATTTATGTGGAGCTTTGATTTTCCAAATGGCATTCCACAGGGACAACTTCACTTGAGAGTGACTGGAAGAGGGGAGGTGAGAGCTGTTAACCTCGTGTAGAAACCGGGCCAACCTATAAGCCGACTTAACAGAAAAATGTCCATCCGATGAGGGGACCAGAACTGACGATCTGGACTACCTGACAAATTACATTATTTTGAATTATCTAAAAAAAAATGATTGGTTGATGTAGGTTCGTGCCACTCTTGTTCTCTTCAATAGAATTTGTGTGCAATTACGTACTAGTTTTGTTCACTTAGGTACAATTTGCAATTAGGTACTACTTTTGTGTTATCAGTACCATTTTTTGTGCATATTATTACGAAATAATGCATTTAAAAGTAAAAAGGGCATATTTAATTCAAAATATTTTTTTTTTGAGTAATTTTGAAGAACTCATATATTTGAAATTTGACAAGTTTGACTTCATGTGACTAAAAAAAGAGTCTCTAACTTCATGTACTTGTGAATTTTTCCAAAAATAAAATTGTTTTCATATAAAAATTACTGTTCCCTAAAATAAGGCTTTTTTTTCTTCGTCAATCAAATAAAATTTTGAAAACTATTCTTAGAAAAAGTAAGAGCATTTTGTTTTTAGTCACAAGGAACAATTGTAAAAAACTCTAAAACAGAAAACCGTTTTTAAAATAATTACAAAAGACATCTCTGAATTATTTTAACTCAACTTTAAATTTCAAATTAATTATTGTTTAAAAAAAATAAATAAATAAATAAAAAATGACCTCCTAATTGTCCATTTAGGTTATATTATATGGCATCAACTGCTATTTATCTTATAAAATGAATTCAAATTTATTTAGATTTTCATTTTCTTATCTTTTCAAAATAAAATTAGACATCAGATAAAAATTTAATGTTTTAATATATTAAGAAACAAGACCTAAGTATTAAATGAAATTGGCATTTGTAAAATAAGAAAACAAAAAGAGTCATTAGGAACTCAATTTTGTACAGGCGATAAACTATCATACTCTGACTAAAATCTACTTTTAACATTGAATTTGTATTATATATTACAATGGATGTATAGATATTATCGTTCTGATCATATTATTAGCTTCTTGGAAAATTTTAAGAGGGCAAGTTTAACAACCTTTCAATTTCTTAATGTTGTGAAAATTCATTTTAAGCTTTTATAAAATTAATATGAATTTCTTTTTGATTTTCTGAATCACTTGTGAGCTTTGCATTTTTATATATGATATAAAAAAAATATACTACTAATAGAATGTGAAATTTTGAAATATGATCAAACTATTTGCAAGCCTTTGTTTGATCTTATAATATTGTGGAAAGATTCAAACTCTCCACAGACAGAAATTATTAGATGATTCAGTACCATCGGTCTTCCTTGGTTAATTATCAATTCATATAAATTTTATGTTAGTTGTATTTAGGGATGGCAATTTGATTTGCCCCCGCGGTTAGCCGTCCCACCCCGCCCCGTTTTTGACGGTTTTGGGGGACCGTTTAGCTTAGAATGGTTTGATGTAATAAAAACCCATGTGAATTTGGTGTGGGAACGCCCTGTCCCGTATAGATAGACATATTATTTACGTACCCTTATTTCATTAATATTAAGGACCATATATAACAATATTAAAGTAACAAATGAATTTAATTAGAAGGAAAGTTACAATGGTGAAGAATTGAAGATGAGGGAAAAAAAAAAAGAGCAAATTTATTTTAACAATAAATAAATTATAGTCTTAAACGGGGCGAGTTGATAAAAATGTTAAACGGTTGTGTGAATGGGGTGGAAAGTCCCCCTGTTTTTGCAATTTTGAACGAAGATGGGGACAAAATTTTTAAACGATTGCGGGAGCGGATACACCAGTCCAAACTCGCCCCTATTGCCATCCTTAGTTATATTTAGTTTTTTATTTACATGTCAATCAGTGATGAGACCATATAATAATTTCTTAAAAACGTATGCTATAACGTCCTGTCAATTTGTATGGAGATTTCGTTACACAGTCGTGAATTCTGTACGGCGTACGGAGAGGAGTTCTAGATTTGTGTAACGAAATGTGAAATATTGCAGCAAGAAGTGGAACATTATAGTCTTCGAATTTTGTAAAAGCTATTAGATTGTAGAATATTTTAGAAATGTGGAGAGTTTAGAAGAGGTAAATATGTAAGATACTTAAATACGTAATATCATAATTTTAGTTTTGGGTTATATATAGAGTGAGAGTTTAATTTAATTTTAGTTTTGGGTAAGCATTTTTCAAACTTGTAATGTTTGAAGTTGTTATGCATGTGTTAGTAATTAAATTCTATTTTGATTTAGTTTAGTTGATACCATTGATCTCAATGATATGCACAAGTGAATAAAAAAGTAAAGTGAAGTAAAATAAAAAATGATGAATAACATAAACGCTTAGATTCCTGGTTAATGATATAATATTTTTGAAATCTATGATAGATAGTGAAAATTTCAAACAATTTTTTCTTTTTTTGTATAAAATATTTTCCATAAACCAAGCACCTAATTTTTTATTTTTTTTTCCTTTAAAATATTTTTAAGATTGAAACCAAACCAGAAATAAGATGAAAAGTATCCTTTTACATGTAAAAAGTTTTTTTTTGTCATATTTTACCTCGAAAAGAAGAGAACCTAAAAAAAACTACCAACAAAGTGTCAAAAAGTTTCTTCTACTAAACAAGATTTGAGTTAATTAAAAAAAAAACAACAACAACTACAACAACCACCACCACCGTAGAACATCGTCACCAGGACTGGTCCTAGTACGCAGGATGCCAAGAGAGGTGGATGCATAGAGAGACCTAGAACTAGCCAAAACTTGGCATTGCTTTGCAGAGAGTGAACTCCAAAAAAAAAACACACACTCAAATACATGCACTAAGATTGTGGTCCATCAAATATTACATTGACAAATATCGTTCTTTTTTCCCAAACACTGAAGTGATTATATCAATTCTACACAAGAATGCACTTAAAAGCCCAAGCAAATAAGAGAACTACCATCTTTTACATTACAGTGTTCACTCAAATCAATAATAGTAAAAAGCACGCCTGAAGCAACGGAATATAAAGATACGTTTTGTCAAATATCACACGGACTACTAATCTTACAGTGAGAAATTTACATAGGGATGAAGTAAGGTTCTCTTACATCAGTGAAGATATAAAAATGTTCTCATTATCATTAGAAGTAATAGACTCATAAAAATTTATAGAAACCAAGGTTCACCTCTCTACACGTCTTTATATAATAACTGGAATTTCGGTATTCTCTCAGGAGGCAGGGGGCAACTCACTATCAGCTTGCCTTTCATGGCCCCTCTAAATATTGTCTGCAAAAAAGCGAAGTAACTTTTACCGATCTGTGTAACATAGCACATATCAAGAATAATGTTTGTTAAACAAGGAAAATAACACCCATCAAAAGATAAGCGAAAGAAATTGATTAAGATGGTTTCGTCACATTCAGTGATGGCCAATAATTGCAGCACTAAGGGAAAATAAAATGGTTCACATTAAAGGTAGTGGCCGAGTAGCAGAAAATCAAAATTAACATGAGTTCAAATCAGCAAGGAAATATTTAGTAATGAAACAGGATTCATGTAGCCAATTTCAAGTAGTGGGAATAAACTTTCTATGTTGACTGGCATCTTTTCCACCTCCTGACTTAGTGCAGCATCACCGATCCCATCAAGTCCATTCATATATTTCCTTACACAAATATTCCTCGTACATATTACATTTTTTTCACAATACAAATAGAAGCCACAAGAATTTTTTTGCATTCTGAAGTTGTATAAAATTTGGCAAATTTTGCTACAATTGGGTAACAAAATTTAGTAAATGGTGACTATCCAATGCCAAGATCAATGATCTATATCAGGAACAACAAACCTCTACGACATCAACGAAATCTTGCTTTCTGTAAAATGCACCCACCCACTTCGTATGATCTGCACTCCTGAATAACAAGGTGATTGACAGAAAAATGTGAACTTGCAGTTCCTCACAAAATATCTATATACGAGTATATAAATGAAATAAAGTTCGAATAAAAAACTTCCATGTTTGACATTTATAAAAAATACAACAAATTCGGCAAAAAGGAGAGTCAGACCTGATCTTTTGCAGTATGTGATTTAAGGTTCCAAAACTCAATTAGAAGACAATGTTAGAAGATAGAAAACTCATGCGAAGATGTGGAGATTGAAAGCTATCATAAAGATGCGTTCAATTTTTTTGCACTCTCAGTATTAGTTCAGTATAGGTAGGATACTAGGATGTACATATAGAAATTGAGGTCAAGAAAGATTTTCATTTTGGATTCTGTTTAGAGGTCACATTAATTTCTATCTAGTTCCCATGAATTTCTCATATAGATTTAGTTTCTCGTAAGGTTGCTCTATTGTGACCTAGAGGTCACATATTCGAAAAAAGAAAACATCTTCTCCGCATGCGGAGGTAAGGTTGTATAAATTAAACCCTCTCCAGACTCCGCAATGGCAGAAGCCTCGTCCACTAGGTTTGCCCTTTTATATTCTCATAAAATTAGTTGCTATAAACTCAACTAAAAATTAGTGTGAACAAGTTTATGGAAAGAAATGTCAAGCGGATCTCAACTGTTATAATCTATGAACATTGTTGCTTTTCCTTTCATTAGTCACTATGGTAGCACATTCATCTCTGTTAGTTAGGTATAAAGGCAAGAAAATGTTCCCAATTGTGCCATATTCTAAATCTCAAATTCTGGTGAAATACATACAAAAGCCCAGGCTAGCTCTGTGGCCTTTATGATTCAAAGCCTCATATTTTCAGTAAATTAAGATATAACAAACAATCAAAAAATAATATTCTTTAAAATTTATAGATTAAAATAAAACGCATACAAAAACAAAACATCATCAGATGGCAGCTTCATTTTTGGGTCAAATGAGAATAACTAGACTCTTACCACAACTCTTCCGGTACTAACAAATTCAAATTCATAGCAATATTGAACAATTTAATGTTGATTGAAGAAAACACAATAACAAATTATTAAAAGAAGAAAATAATAACAGTCATTAGTGACAAGAAACAGTACCCTGAATCCATCTTCATGTGATGAGCATTGAAGAAAAACGCTGTTGATGGTATCAAAGTGATGTCAAAATACTTGACATAAACTTGAATCTCCTCCGAATCAATGTCGACTAACGCTACAGTTGCAAACTTGGACACCTCCCTTGCTGATTTAGAAAGCTACATTTAAAGAGAAGATTATTACAACACTATTAAGCTTGAACTGTGTGAAAAATTATTTTATATTAAGAGCAATTAAAACAAAACAATAATCAAATTTCTGTGCATTGAAACGAACTTGGACACGTTCAATTGGGCGTTTAATCAAATATTAGGAGTGCTTATCAAGATGAAAGTAACAAAATTGATGTTCTTCGAACAATTGAAGATCATTCCATTGATTTCAATTAGATTTTCACAATTTTAATCAAAGAAAATAAAATAAACATTCATTACTAGAGAATTTAAGATCTCTGAAAAAGTTTGAGAGAGAGAGAGGGGGGGAAGCGTACGATGTCATCGAGTTGGAGGCAGACGGCGTCGGAGGGTCTGCCGAAGCGGAGGACAAGGACTTTGTCGATGGTGTCTCTGATGATCGAATCCACTTCTTGCTTCTTCGTCAGTGTCGTCAATAGATAGCTCATCTTCTCTCTCTCTTCCCCTTCCCCTGGTGGTGGAGGAATCACAGAACGTTTCCGTTCTCTTCTCCTCTTCGGCGACTAATTTGTGAATTTTATCCTCCTTTTTAATTTTCAATTTTTACTTTTTATTTATTTATTTTAGGAAAAATAAAATGTAATTATTTCAAGGGCAAAAATAAATTAAATAATGGTTCTAGTATTTTCCCTATTAAAATGATCATATATTTTTTTATTGAAAATGATGAATGATCCTATATTTTTTTTAAAATAAATAATAATACCTTAAAATAACCATACTATATTTATATATACAATTCAATTTCAAAATCATGTAAAATGATAAAAGTTTGACAAAAAATGTGAATGAATTTTGGCTTGTGGCAGCTGACATTCTTAACATTTGTCGGATCACTTTTGCCTATTTTTACCGATCTTTTTACCAAATTTGGTGTCGTTGCTGCATTACTTGACGGAGTAGATGGGTTCAAGTAACCAATAAGCTCTCTATCTTCAATGCGGATTCCATTCCTCTTATCCAGGTTTTGACAATTAGATGTTCATTCTTTTTGAAAATGTAAATGCCATTTATTGTTGTTCTTCAAAATGTTTTAACAGCTATCAAACTTAAATTTGGTATTATTTTGATGAGCAAACAACTCTTTGGCTACTATCATCTAAAAAAATAAAAATAAATAATTATTAAAAGACAAATATTTAAAATATTTGTTACTTAAATTTAATATAGTAAATAACTTGCCTTGTACTCATTGTCTTGCTCACTGATGATTCCTTTCAATCTGGATCATGCATCCAGAAAAGTTAATAATCATTTTGTTGCATGAAGGACCAACGATTCAAGCAGACATTACTAACTCTTTTAAGTATATCAGCACCACTAATGTGTAGCTCAAAACTTTCACGAATTCAGCTCCATAACGCTGTCTTTTGTTGGTTTGAACCAATGACCGTATCAAAGCTAATGGTCATCCATGCATAACATAAAGCCTCATCTTCAGCCGTGGATCAATTGGGAAGCCGACTAACCTTTTGCTTACTGGGAGGTTGAGAGTTACTAGATTGTGACACTTCAGTAAAAATATTGAAAACTAAAAAAGGTTGATGAGACGGAAATTGAGATTCTTATCCAACAAATTGTAAAAAGTGATCAAAATTATCATTTGATTGGTTGAATTGGGAGTTATAGTTATAATATGGTAGTGGAGGATCCATAGAATTGAACTTGAATAAAAATACATATCTAAAAGATTGAGAAAATGACTTAGTAGTTGTAGTTGTAGTTGTAGGTTGAGGAGTAGAGAAAATAAATGGGTTGGATATGAGTTGAATGATAATAGGGGTTGAAGTATTTATAGGGGAAAAATGAAAGGTTTTTTTTCAATATATATATATATATATATATATATATATATATATAATTATTTTTTTAAAAAAAATTCAAAAAATATGTTTTTGTGTCAATATAATCGTTAAAACGGCTATAATGTCAGTAGGAATATGAAGGGAAAAAAAAAATCATTTTTCTCCATTTTTTAAAACTTTATTTTGCCCAAAAAAGCCTTTCAGACACTGTTTGTGTCAGCCAAACGGTGCCTTAACGACTCTTTGGATCAATTATGTTGAGAGAGAAAAAAAAAGGCCAAAAAATGTAAATAAACTGATATTTGGAAGAAAAAAAATTTACAGTCAAACACGCCCTTAAATTTATTATGAACTACAATATTGCTAGGCCATAAAAGTTAAAAAACAAAAAAATGGGCGGGCCTACACAAGACAGCCGCAATCACTAACTGGGCTGCCCTTTTTGGCAACCCATTTCACAACCCAAAAAATGGGACCCATATTTTGGAGACTCCGTTGAGCTGACCCAATTACTAGAGAATGCTCAAAATCTCTAAAACGAGCATGTTAGAATTGCTCTAAGCATTCTATTTCATTTAATTCATGCACACCAAATGTAATAACATAATATAGTATAAGAGGATTGATGCTAAATTTATTTATTTCAATTTTCTTTTCCTTTTCCGAACACTTGATGTTTTGTCTTATAAAGCCTTCAACCATGGAATTTTTTATTTTTTTTAAGGGAAAGAAAGTCGCAGCTTGGGAATAAATTAACAAAAAAGGAACAATTACACACCCATAAATTAACAAAAAAGGTTGGGTCATAACCAACCTTTAGTCTTGTCATAACCAACTTATAGGTGTGAAATGGGTGTCACAACAATGACACTGTTCAATCCACTCAGTATTCAGTATATGCAAGTAGAAGCCAAACACACTTAACTCTCACCCTCAATTCCCATCCCGTGTTTGTTAATTAAATTTTTAACCAGCATCAAGCAATAATACTTGATACATCATTTATCACCAAATCGGTGTTTTAAATTTGGAATAGGAAGAATTTTAGTACAAAATTTGAACTAAATTTTTTCCAATTTTAAATTTGAGCTGCCGATTCAATACTCCGAAACATAGCATAATATAGATTTAAGGACCACATTATGAATAAAAGAAAAATATAAAAAGTTCAATCCAAATAAATATGGAAAGCAATTTTAATCTGAATGCTTTCCCCAAAGCCTAGTTGTTCTACAAACAGTTCTCTATTATATTGCCCATAACTGTTTTCATGTCTTGCCTTCAGAAAATATAAATAAATATAGGGCACAACAGAGAGTTAATGATATCTAAATTTAAGTAAAAACAATACTACTTTAATTGGAACAATCTCAAATAGACATATAACATAATATCGAAATAGCATTTCCATCCTCGAAAACCATAACCTATCTAAAGTTAGAAGGCAGAAATTTCATTAGAATTGAGATTGTAATCAGCCCTTTTGACAGGATAAACAAAGGCAGCAAGAAGAGCCCTTCTCCTCCATGCTTATTCTGGATCAGGGGAACCACCCGGGACAAGCTGCATTAAGCACAAAATGTTAGAACGGTAAACCAGTTGAATGCCTTTGACTGCTACTTAAGGCATGTCGAAAACAGCTTCAAGCATATAGCTCGAAGTGTTGGTTAAACTCTATCCATGGAACTTGCATGGTGTTTGAGCTACAGAAGAATGATATAGGAATTGCAATCTGTCAACTTCTTGAACAGATCTAAAAGCCACAAGCACAATAAATTGTTAACAATTAATTTCATTAAGACTTGGTCGTTTGGAAGAGATTGTTTCTCAAATTTTTTGGCCTTGCCAAAAGAAAGAGGGGTACGATGTTAGTCTAAACCGAAAGCTTATAAGCTGCTCTTGGTCAGGACACTAAATACAACTAAAGGCTTCAATAAATTCAGATTACTATGAAAAGCAGTTATATTTTTACTTACAATGGCAATGTTGTTCCCATTAAGCAAAATCTGATCGAGCTTTGTTATTCGTCGCCCTTCAGCAGTGATTTCACTGGAAAATAGAAGCATAAAGAAAACAGTATAGGAGTCAGAACAGGAAACCTTTCAACACAAACAGTTTCACAGGAACAAAGAGAACACATTGTGCTGTAGAGATTGCAAGGTTTGTGCAAATGGAAATTACATGCACACATGAGCAAACGAAGAGTTCTAAAAAATGTCTTTGAAGAGCAGATATTTGTTCCATGTTTCTAGCAGATCAATTATATGTTCGATCATCTACATGGAATTGGAACAAAATCCTGATGGTTGGACAATAAAATTTAACTTTTCAATACCAGTTGAGGAGGCCCAGGACGACATGGGCCGGATCTGACTGGCAAGCACTACATCCGGTCCGTACAGCTGGGTCAGCCCATAAAAAGACACTGCCATATGGGCCGAACGCAAATAAGCCCATCAAAGGCGACCAGGACTTATGGAGGAACAGGCCCAGATCCAACAATCAGTAAATATCTTGTAAATATCTTGTAAATATCTATAAATAAGGGAAGGAATAAAAAAGAGGGAGGATCTTTTTGGGTTGAAGTGTAAGAATTCTAGAGAAAGAAGGAGGGAATGAATTTCTTGCATCTTCAATTGGCGCCGTCTGTGGGAATCGTATGGAGGTTTGGATGATCAATGAGGAATATCGAGTGGATTCAGACCAATTCGGTTGATCGAGACTCGATCTTTGGGATTTGGATCCAGATCTGAGCGATTGTGACCTACTCTGGAGGAATTACAATTCTTGAAGCTTTGGCAGAAGTGGCTTCAGATCTACGCAACAACGAGTTGTTCGATTGTGGCAGGATCTGACGGATTTAGAGTTCAGACAATTCAGATCTCGTAAACAGTGAGCATAATTCGGAGAATTCGAAGCCAGATCTGAAAAATTCCCACTCACGAAGCTCGGATCTACTCGCGAACTTGAGATTAATGCCTTTACTCCGTTCAGGAATAATGATAGGTGAAAGCTCCAATCCGATGGAGGCTGTCCAGCAAACAAAGCTTGAGGAGTTGATGAACTTGATTGAAGCTCTCAAAAAAGAGAATGCAGAATTGAAAGCTGGAATGCAACATCGGCAAATACCTGCGGTTTCGCATCCACTTCCGGTCGGTGAAGGAGGTGTTCAATCTAATATCGCGCGTCAAGGCGAGCACGACGAGAACAATCAGTCAGCTCACCATCGTGATGAAAGGATGATGGACAATTTGCCGCCAAATGTTCGTCGAATTGAGGATCACGAAGGATCGACTCACGTTGATCCGCGACATGAGCAGATTAGACGGAATGAAGCCATAACCTTCGATCCGCATCGGGAAAGGTTCGACCGAGAGGAAGTGATAGAGATTGATCGCCGTCGAGTAGCGTCGCCTTGGCAAAGAGAGGTCATGGAGGAACGGTCGTTCGATCCGTCTTACCGGCCCTCCATGGCTACTATCACTCATCGCGGATCGGAGGGCAGAACCGTAACTCACAGAGCTACCGCTGGACTCCAGAGAGAGAATGAAGCTCTCCGATCCGCAGCTCGGACGGTTGATTCACCATTCACCGACGAGATCTTGAATGCCCCGCATCCAAGGAAGTTTGCTATGCCAGTCTTTATTCTGTTTGACGGAACAACCGATCCGATCGATCATGTGTACCATATCCAGTTGAAAATGGCCCTGAATACGGAAAACGACTCTTTAATGTGCAAATGTTTCCCTACAAGCCTAGCCGGACCGGCGCTCAGCTGGTTCAAAAACTTGCCTAGGAGCTCCATTGGTAGCTTCAGAAACCTGTGCGATCGGTTCATAAGCCAGTACTATGGGAACAAGCGCCCGCCGAAGGACATCTCGAGCCTATTCACGATGAGGCAGCACAAGGATGAACGTCTCCAGGCTTTTCTTACCAGGTTTAATCTCACTAAGAGTATGGTGATCGAATGCCACCCCTCTACGGCAGTTCAAGCCTTCAAGTTAGCCATGACACGCGGAACTCCGTTTCACACCAGTCTGGTAGTGAACACGCCGACTACTATGGATGAACTCAATGAAAGAGCTGATGGCTTTGTGCGCCTAGAAGAAGAGGAGGCAGCTAATGCTCGGACAACGTCGCTCGTGTCGACCGAGGAAAAGTCCAAGGCAAAGATCAGGCAGAAGCAGGCTCAGCCGCAACGTCAGACCTCTTGGAAGGCAGAAAAAAGGTCTAGGGAGGAAGAGCTGGTTACTCCGCTGAAGGTCACTCTGGCGAGGCTGTATCAGGAGAACAAAGATAAGTTTCATCCACCACTGCCAATTAGGCAACCCCTCGAACAGAGGGATCAAACTAAATATTGTGCTTTTCATTCTGATTTCGGTCATCAGACTAACGAATGCAGGAACCTGAGGAGGCAAGTGGAGATGTTGATAGCTAGAGGGGAGTTCGCGAGTTATGTTCAAGGTTCGGCGATAGAGCAGAATCGACCGGTGGAACAAATAAAAAGGAGTCATAAACAAAGCTCCCACAATTCACAACCAGTTCGTATAATCAATGCTATCCATGGTCGACCCGAGCCTAGTGAAGAGTCAGATGAGCTGCTCCGGGCGCGCCTGCGGCAGGCGCAGATGAAGAAAAGGGTCGGCAGTGTGAATACTCTACACCAGCAGAGCCCGTCGATGCAGATAAAGTTCGACTGGACAGACCTGCAGCGTGTTCAACTGCCTCATGAAGACCCGTTGGTAGTCAGTTTGACAGTGGCAGACTGCTTGGTGCGCAGAGTTCTGATCGATCCTGGGAGCAGTGCGAATGTCATGCCGAGGGACACATTCGACAGGCTCGAGATTAAACCAGAGAGGCTCAAGCCCACTGGAAATCCCTTGTTAGGGTTCGATGGGAAGAGGGTGGAGCCCGTCGGGATGGTGGAAGTGGAAGTTCAAGCTGCAGAACGAGCTCTTATGGAAACTTTTGTGGTTGTGGAAATTCACCCCTCGTATAATCTCCTGATGGGAAGAGGATGGATTCACAGAGTCCAAGGTGTACCCTCAACTCTGCATCAGGTCATGAGGTGCCTCGGACCCGATGGAGATAAAGTGATAGACATTCGGGGGGATCAGGTTGCAGCCAAAGAGTGTTATTCCGTCACACTAAAGCATGCTGGGAAAGGAAAGGCGCCCGTCCGTTCGGCAAGCCCCAGATAGCAATTACAGGAACCTCCGCCCGAGCAGAACAGGGTGGAGGAGTCAGTCGACTTGACCGAGGAGCCCCTTCTGGATGTGCAGATCGATCAGTCCAGGCCAGAACGAACTACCAGAGTAGGTATAAGACTGACCAGAGAAGAGCAGCAAGAGCTAGTGGATTTCTTGTCCCACAATGCCGACGTATTTGCATGGAGTCACCTAGACATGCCTGGAATTAGTCCCTCCGTATCCTGTCATTCCCTGAATGTCAATCCCAATTTCAAACCAGTGAAACAGAAGCAGCGAAGATTTGCTCCAGAACGTAATCAGATCATAGCGGAAGAAGTCGATAGGCTGCTTGATGCGGGATTTATCAGAGAAGTGCACTACCCTGATTGGTTGTCCAACGTCGTTGTTGTGCAGAAGAAGAATGGGAAATGGCGAGTATGCATTGATTTCACCAATTTGAACAAAGCCTGTCCGAAGGACAGCTTCCCGCTGCCTAAGATTGATCAAATGGTGGATGCCACCACCGGGTATGAGCGTTTAACCTTTTTGGACGCTTACTCAGGTTATAATCAGATCCCTATGGACCCCGTAGATGAAGAAAAAACTTCTTTTGTCACCGAGCGAGGAACATACTGCTACAAAGTTATGCCTTTCGGACTAAAGAATGCTGGAGCAACTTATCAAAGACTTGTTAGCAAAATTTTTAAGAATCAAATGGGAAAGATTGTGGAAGCCTATATTGATGATATGGTGGTAAAGAGTAGGAAGAAGGATGATCATCTGAAGCATCTGCAAGATGTATTTGATGTACTGAAGCGATATGGGATGAGGCTCAATCCAACCAAGTGCTCGTTCGGTGTGAGTTCCGGACAATTTCTGGGACACGTGGTCAACCGCAGAGGCATCGAAATGTTAGCCCCGCTCAAGCAGAGGCTTTGATTAAGAATGCCGAGCCAAAGACGATCAGAGAGGTGCAAGCCCTCACAGGACGAATAGCTGCATTAAGTCGATTTATCTCGAAATTGTCAGATCACTGCAAGCCGTTCTTTGACACGATTCGGAGCCATGGAAGGCAGGTCTGGGGGGATGAGCAACGACAAGCATTGACTCATTTGAAGGAATATATGCAGAATCCACCAGTCCTGTCAGCCCCAGATCCGGAAGAAAAGTTATTTCTATATCTTGGAGTATCTGGTGTCGCGACAAGTGCCGTTCTGATTCGTTGCAAGGAGGGGGTGCAATACCCGGTATTTTATGTAAGCAAAACAATGACAGAGGCAGAACAAAGATACTCAAAGGCCGAACGAGTGGTACTTGCACTTGTGAATGCAAAAAGAAAGTTGAGGCATTATTTCGAATCCCACCCCATAGCTGTTCTAACAACTTTTCCAATCAGAACGCTTATGCACAAGCCAGAGCTCTCGGGCAGAATGACAAAGTGGGCCATAGAGTTGAGTTCATTTGACATAACGTACGAGCCGAGAACAGCTGTTAAAGGGCAAGCGGTGGCCGATTTCCTGCTAGAATGTGATGCCGAGGATACGGAAGAAGACCTTCGATGCGGCTCTTGGAAACTTTTTGTGGATGGCTCCTCCAACCAGATGGGGGCTGGAATTGGGATCAAACTGCAAACCCCAGAGGGTACTTCCTTGAGTCAAGCACTCAGACTTGAGTTCCGAGCCACCAATAATGAAGCGGAATACGAGGCGTTGCTGAATGGATTAAAGTTGGCCAGAGAGCTGCAAATCAAAAGTTTGACTGTGTATAGTGACTCGCAGTTGATTGTTCGGCAGGTAAATGGTGAGTACGCGACCAAGGATGACACGATGGGGGTATATCGTTCTGCCGTTCTGCATAAAG